GGTTCATCCGGAAGGTAGATAAGGAATAGCAGAAAATTTCAGTCGGTAGCAGTGTTGGTAAGCAGTATATGGTGGAATTCAGTTAGTTGATTATGGGGTGCTCGACACCAAATTATAGTAGAGAGAAATGCCCAGTGGATACTAGCGGTAATGATCCGTACTGGAGGTAGCGGGAGTAATGGATTTGGTGAAGGATAGGACCTTCACATTGATAAAGGAAATAGTTGGTTATGGAACATTGCCTTGGGTAGGCAAGAAAACGCACAAGGATAGGGGTGAACCCCTATTGGTCCAGTGCAGTACTCGAAGAGTACCAGAAGGATTGTCAGTTGAGAAAGTTGTGTTTCCAGAATGTTCAGGGTCAGGGTTGACCCGAGATTATTATCTGCAAGGATTAAGGTTAGTCAGAATGACTGGGGGAAGGCCAGCGAAGGTAGCCAGCGGATCTTAGGACTACCAAACCGAATGTTGAAAGCATATTGCGGGGCGATTAGCCATAGAGAAACTTCGAGGATGAAGTTTAGTTTAAGTGGGGGAGAGTTGTAACACCCATAATCAGAAAGACCAAGAAAGGAAAGGAAAACCCTAAGTTAAAGGGCCAACTCATCGAGTCCAGGAGGAACTCGGCGAGTCCGAGTGGGATCCAGGTCGAGGAGTAAGTGAACGACTCGGCGAGTCGGAGAATGGACTTGGCGAGTCCGGTCTGAAGAGGGAAACCCTAAATTCGAGACTTTGTGCACTATTTAAGCCCCTCATTCTCTTCCTGAGGGTTCCTTTACACCTCTTCTCATCCAGAACATCGAGCCCTAACCACCATATCCGTTTTTAAGCAAAGATCTAGCCTTGGTGTTGTGATTTGAAGTGTGGAAGAGAAGGAAGTTCATAGTGGTGCAAGAGGAAGCCTTGGATCCAAAGTTGGCGTGACTTTTTAGAACATTTGAAGGTAAGAAGTCATTACCTTCACTCCTTTGCTCATAGTTTCCTTTTTATTATGAGATTTAGGGCTTTTATGCCATATCCTAAAGCTAATTGGAGTTAGAAGTCCAGATCTGAAGTTGCTACCTCAGATCTAAGAGAATTCTAGCCTAGAGAGTCATAAAGTATCAGCCTTGGGGGTGTAGATGAGGCATGTTTGTCTTAACCCCGAGTATGGAGTGTTTTAGGCCTAGATCTCCTTAGCTACACGTAAAGTTTAGAACTTTACGTGAGAAATAGGCCTTGGAAGGGTGGATCTACAATTTGGAGTCCCTGCATGACTCAAAAAGCCTCTGAATGCATGAAGGACTGAATAGACTCGGCGAGTAGTATGAAGATTGGGAGGAACTCGACGAGTTGGATGAACAACTCGGCGAGTCTGTTGAAGTTTGCCTAGGACTCGGCCAGTCTGTTCTTGGACTTGGCGAGTCAGGTCACGAAACCCCGAACCCTTCGAGTTAAGACTCGAATCAGTGAGTCGAGTGGAGACTCAGTGAGTTGGACATGACAGGACTCAGAAATTGGTGGACTCGGTGAGCCATGGGTTAACTTGGTGAGTCGAGTCACGAATGGAAGGACTCTGAGCATATGAACTCGGCGATTCAGTAGGCGGACTCGGCGAGTAGGGTTAACTTTTACCATAACATTGACTTTGACCAGAGTTGACCTAGTTGACTTTCGGGGGACAATTAGACTAAGTGTGGCATTGGTATTGGTAGCTCAGAGAGTTAGTGGAGCAGGAGTTCAGAGAGTTTTCGGGCAGCAGCTAGAGGGGTTATCAGCAAGTTCAACAAGTGCATGTGAGTTTTCCCTTTGTGTGAATGGGTCTAAGGACACAATGTCGGCCCTTGTAGTTATGAGTAGAAGACCTTGGGGTTAGCCCTAGGCACAGTATGCTAGTATGATATTCAGGACGATGTCCAATTATAGCGGGCGGGTGCCCAAGGAATGGTTTATATGATAGTTTATACTTGTTGTCTGTGTGATACTTGTATGTGCCTGGAAGGGAGGTGAGTGTGGGCGAGGTCCCGTATCTCACTAATAGTAGAGTGTGGATGGTGTTCCACATCTCATTAGCAGCAGAACAGGGGCATAGCCCAAGTTAGGGAAAGAGTGAGTGTGGGTTGGGCCCGTATCTCACTATAAGTAGAAGCGTGGATGGGGTTCCATGACTCATCAATAGCAGGACAAGGGCGAGGCCCAGGATAGGCGAGGCCTTAGGATAGGATCCATTAGTATATGTTTAGCTTATGTGTTGTGATATGTTTATGTGCTATTATATGTTAGTGGGCAAGGCCCTGTGATAGGCGAGGCCTAAGTGAAACAGATCTGTGTCCGAGCGGGGCTCGAAGCCAGGCGGGGCCGTTGTAGCGGGCGAGGCCCGAGGTAAGGGGGCGAGGCCCATAATAGCGGGCGTGGCCCAATATGTGCAGTATGTCGTTATGCATGGTATGTGGTAGGTTGGGGAACTCACTAAGCTTCGTGTTTATGGTTTTCAGTTTTGGATTTAGGTACTTCCGGTAGCGAAGGGAAGAGCTCGGGGTGATCGCATGACACACACCATAGATTAGACAGCCTGGGAATGTTTCACTCTGATAATGAAAATATGTTTTCGAAGTAATACTCTGATTATGTTATCGATTGATAATTATGTTTTAAGTAATGTTTTATAAAAGAAATTTTTAGTTTTAAATTTTGGGACGTTACACTACAGTTAGGCAGGCATGCCTGGGTTGAAAGATATCATACCGTACGACGCCTGAAGAACGTCGATCAGGTCATCAGTCATATCAAGCATGGTTATACGACTCACAATAGTATAAACTAACTTTTGTTTATGAGATTTCATTCTTTATAAGTTTTATTTTAACTAATAGAACTACCATACATTACACTAGAGGATTCCAGGGATACAATACAAGGTTTTATTTTAAATAATAAAACTACTATACATACTGGTGGTAGCCAGGGTTTTCAATCAGAACTTACTATACATACTGGTGGTAGCCAGGGTTTCAAACAAAACATACTATACATACAAGTGTTAATCAAGGTTTTGAACAAAATACATTAACAAACGTACATGTTAGAAAATATTGCCTTTTTTTTGGGGAAACATGCATATATTTTATAGAATTCAATGACTGATTTTCACTCAAAAATATTCTTATGAACTCACCAGCTTAATGTTGATGCTCTTTCAAAATCGTTTGTATTCTCAGGAAATCAGTAGACAGGTACTCTCGAAGCATTTTGAGAAGACGGAGCATATAGTGTTATGTCTTCGTACTTTGTTATGCTTTTGATGTACACAACAATGAATCAAATAGATGTAAATATTCATATCTTAATGTAATGGTTGTGTTTAGTTTGATTACTATGACGCAATTGTTGTGATAGTACACATGACCTCCTCCACCCCTGAATGTTTCCACCGTTTCTGTTTAGGGGTGTGACAACTGTAGGCCTTGCGAGGCGATCCAGTCAGACTGTAAACCCACGGGAGCAATACGGCTACTGTAGATCTTGTGAGGCAGGCCAGTAGACTATAGGCTTGGTAGAGTGGTCTAAGCATCATGTAGGCCTTACGAGGTGGTCCCGACAGACTGTAGGCTCATTTTGTGTGCATTGTATATGCATTGTTGTGTGGGGTATTTTGGAGGGAAATCAGTAAGCTTTGGCTTATAATTATTGATTTACATGTTTTTAGGTACTTCAAATGATCGAGATAAGGCGAAAGTTTGATCGTACATATCATCTTGTGAATTTTTATGTCGAAAGATGTGTGGACTATTTTAGGAAAACTCACTAAGCTTTATCATATACATCATCCTATGGACTATTATTTGGAGAAATGTGATTTGATACTCTGATTTTATTACTATGTTTTGGAAGCATTGTTGATTGACTTGTGATTTTGTGAAAATGGTTTTGAAAAATTAGAATCTTTTACTCTGATTTTTGGGACGTTACAAATCCTGAAGTGGAAAACTTCGGCAATTAAGATGTCAATCGACGGTGAGGATGCCATTGAATAAAAATGTCGCTTAAAGGAAGGTGTTCTACAAGGCCTTTTAGGGCTAGGTAAGATGATGGTTTTTTTTGGAAGTTAATTCAATTAGTGACAATATTAGGTTGATTTGGCCATACCCTTCTTACTATGTCAGAGGCTAAAATTTGCATATCAAACAATTTGATTCGGACCTGACCTCTTAATGACTAATAAGACGTATATCAAACATTCCATTATGCTCTCATCAGCTATTCAATAACTATGTATTATTTCGCTTCATATTATATAGTTTGTTGGTTACATTTTGGTTATTTGAAAATTAAAGATTAAATGTTAATTACATTGATATTAATAGTTACTAAACTATTTTTTTAGGTGTATTTAGTATTGTAGGTCATTTTAGCGAATAATTGTATTTGTTATGAGTATTGTTAAAAAAATAATGTTATTGACTTAACATATATAAAATCTTAATTTAGTTTATCTTTATTAGAAGTGATTAAATGTTTTAAAGCTAAACAAATTTTCTGCAAGTGATCGATGTCTAGCCTAGCTGGATCGATGTTTCAGGTTTAATATCCACTTGTGTTTTAGGTCAGAAGTTCAAATATTCGAACCTGGTAAGTTTGTCTTTTGTAATTATGATTACGTGTAAGAAGTTTTCCTTAAGAATACTTTAATTGGTGTTGAGTTTAACCTGTAAAAAATCTCGAAATCAGATTACCATTAAAATATTGTGATAAGGCTTCCGCTAATTAGTTTTTCATTTAAAAAAAAAAAACAAATTATATTTTTGTTGTTATTATTAAAGAACCCTTGGCCAAAATTCAACAAAGCAACATATTGTGATTTCACTAATTAATCTTTCGTTAAAAAAACAAATTTCCAATAAGATAATACTGCATGTTACAACTTTGGTTGTTATTATTAATTAAAGAACCCTTGGCCAAAATTCAAGAAAGCAACAGTTGCTAATCACAAAGGAATTTAATGAAATGTAGTGGTGTGGAATCTCATAGACGTGGGTTTTGCGAACAATCCGGCGACCCTTTTGCTGTTTTCTTCTCTTGATGATCATCATCATCATCTTCTTCGTCTTTCTTTTTTCCATGCACTTCATCTCTCTGCCAGCTAATTAACGATCCATATACAATATAATTTCTTTCATGAAGCTGGACTCTGATTTACTTTCATTGGTCAGAAACACCGGCAGAACCCCATTTTCAAACACCATATAAATCCAAAACCACATGCCCACTCTTTCTTCATATCTCACTCTTGTCTTCTCTCGTTTTCATTCATATCCTCTTCTCTAAAATGGCACTCGCTAAAGAAAGAAACCCTAACGATCACTCCTCACACATGTCTGGTTTAGTCCATCAATCATACACATTTTACGGAAGTGCCATTGGAGAAGTCGAAGAAAGTGAAAGCCCAGAAAAGAAAGGGAATTTCGCTGGAAGTTCATCGAACTCTTCTTCACTTTCAAGTCCAAGCAGCGCTACGAATTCGGTTGGATTTCTATACCGAAGCACCACAAATCATCAACAACAATTACAACAAGAAGAAGGTCATTCGGTTATAAGCTTCAAGCCAGGATACTACGATAATAGTTTCATGCAAAGTGGTAGTGGTTCGTGTTTCCTTAGCTTTGAAGAAAATGAAGAACAACCCTATTCGAGTAACTTGAGCCCCGATCATCTTATGAATTTAGGGTCTAGTTCCTTCGATAGCTTACGCTTGCTGGAAAATATGAATTGCATTCAAAGTCGTAACATCAAAGAAAATCATCATGAGGAATTTGAATCATTTACATGGCCAAATCCTTCTTCTTCTGACAATTACAATGCCACACAAGAATCAAATTTCCATAAGCGTAGTCATTCGGTAAACTCTTCTTCTTTTTTATGTTTACATCTCCTTCGTGTTTGATTTCTTGTAAAGATCCATCATTTAAAACTGAAAACGTTCTACAGGGAGAGAGTGATCAAGCTTTCAAAAAACAATGTACCACTAACACAGCAACAAAGAAGATTAAGCAAAAGTCAACTCAAGTTCAACCAAAGGATCCACAAAGTATTGCAGCAAAGGTAATTATGTCGCAAGTAATCATAATATACAAACGATCAGTTACTTAAAACGTAAGCAAAAATCAGATCAAATTTGAGAATGGAATGTTTGCGTCTTAACAGAATCGTAGAGAACGAATCAGTGAGCGGCTGAAAGTACTTCAGGATCTCGTGCCAAATGGTTCCAAGGTAATTGTTTAGAAAAATTTAGGTACTGAATTATGATCTTACAATCAATGTTTTCGACGTTAATAAATTATATTTCACATCAGGTTGATTTGGTTACCATGTTGGAGAAAGCCATTAGTTATGTGAAGTTCCTTCAGTTGCAAGTGAAGGTAAGAATTAATCAATTATATTTTTGAACATTGAATGAATGTAATCAATCATATTTTGGTCATATAGTTAAGCCTTTACGTTTATTATATTTTCAGGTGTTGGCAACTGATGAGTTCTGGCCAGTACAAGGTGGAAAACCACCTGAGCTTTCACAAGTTAAAGACGCGATTGATGCTATACTTTCTTCTTCCCAAAGAGACAGAAGTTCAAGCTCTAAATAAGATTCCAAAGGAAAAAATTCTAGAAACCAAGTATTTAGAATTCGATCACAATCCCGGAGGATCAGAAAGAGAGGGGAACAAGATTCGGTATAGGAAGTTTTAATTTAGTTTTAGTTATAATACTCTTCCAAATCCATTTCATTTTTTAGTACTCTAAGTGATTATATGTATTCGGTTATGCTTGTATTAAGTAAATAAGACTTATAATTTATAATATATTTCATGAATCTCCATCAAAACAAATAATAAGTGTGACTCCGAAAATCTTCCTACCGGCAATCCAATGATACCTTGTTAATGAAACGATGAATGGTACTACGAATTCGTCTTAATATTTTCACTCCTAAACATACTATGAAAGTCCAGAATGATCGAGATCTACCTCGTGAAAAATTGCCTTATATAAGATATTGTTGCGGAAAATACACAACACAATGATCGGTGTATGAAAGGCCAAAAACATTCACAATCTTTATTCTTTTGAAGTAATATATAACCTATAATTCTTTATTCTTTAAAGTTTAATCAAAACGCAATATACATGTATAAATCAAAAGAAAAACATCATGCGTTATATATATATATATATATATATATATATATATATATATATATATATATATATATATATATATATATATATATATATATATATATATATATATATATATATATATATATATGTATGTATTCATTTATTTATTTAGTTATTTAGTTATTTATTTATAAAAAAAAAATTGAGAATGAAAAAATCATTTTCAACCACACATTTGAAACATTTAGATAATGGATACACATTTGTTTTCCAACCATACATGTTTTTTTAAAATATGTTACTCATTACATTAATATACACAAAAATATATTTTTTATTATTTTTAGAAGGTATTTTTATCAACAAAATATTTTAAATATATCAAAATTCATAATTTTTTAGTCATTATAAATAGACATCAATATTGATATATATTTAAGATAAAATAAAAAAATCTTTTTTTTTTAGAGTTTCGACTCTAATTAACCATATTGATATACTATCTTTTTACCCTTTTTACTTGTTGCAGCCGGTTTGAATCTCTCTCTCTCTCTCTCTCTCTCTCAAAGTCAACAGATCTACTTATTTTCTCTTCTCCACAATACACAGGTTCGTTGCTCGTCTCTCGATCGATCACATTCCTTTTCCTATATGTGAATCCTTAACAACATCAAGAAACTACTATGCACCCTTCTTTTCTTCATGTTTTCCGGTCTTTCTCTCTCTCTCTCTCATTACAAAATCAGAGTTTAAGAAATGTTGTCGCCATCGCCATTGACGCACCACCATGCTCACCTGCTCTCTCCTCTTCGTCTTATTTTGAAATTTCACATATCATGAAGCAAACTTGAATGGAACTCAACACCAAAAACAAGGAATTCCATTAATGCACGTAGTAAAAGAAATGAAGCCATATGAAATTTTAATACTCCATCTGAAATTACAAGCGAACATAGAAGAATCTACTAAAGTCAAAGGGACCGGTGATCTAATAAACATCATCCCTTTTTTTTTTGTCAAGCACTGAATACAACAACCAACGATGAGAAAAAATGACGAACAAGAAAGAAAAACGCGTAAACCCACATGTAATTCCGAACACCCATTTGCTACATCCGCGTTAATCACATAGTTTCAAGATTAAATATGAGGATTCATCCTTAATCAGAAACAAGAAGCAGTTGAAGATGTTAACTGCTTTTGGGTCTTATAGCTGATTGAATGCGTTTATTGAAAGGACGTTTCACACAATTGAATCGATATTCAAAATACATCCAAATAGGTGGCTTATGGTTGTATCAAATCCATTGGAACCAATAAAAGGAAAGAAGATTCTCAAACCCTTTTCTGAAAAAGGGTTCCGAGTAACAACAATGTCTCCTAATTTCGATTACTTGTTCAAGAGCACCATGACAAAATCTTGGTTTTCAAAGGCAATTTGAGGTGACGTTCATTCCAGTGATGTCCCATTAAGCCGAACATCTTGAATTTATTTGTTTTACAAATATGGTGGTGTTTATCTTGATGCAGGTGTGATATTCCTTAAAACTTTCTCCAAATTAAAAAGCTCAATTGGAGCACAATTGGTGATGTGGCAAGTTTGGTCAACTAATTGGGAAAATTCAAAGTCAATGGGAGGAAATTGGTCAACAGTGGCAACGGGGTAACCCGATGACCCCTTCACTTTGGCTAGGATGATGTAATCGACCCGACAAAAACGACTTCGTTTCCTCATAAAGTTAGAAAGATAGTTTAAGGACCAAATGGACCAACCTTAGAAAGATCGTAGGGCGTTTATGTCATTTTCCCATTTTTTTAAATAATTATGAAATATTAAAATAACAATATTTTTTAACCAAAAAAAAAAAAAACAATGTTTCAAGTACATATTGGCCTATTTTTTGAATTGAATATATGCATAATTGTTATACTACAATATTCGTAAGTAATCATTAAAAAAATCAATTTTATTTAGAGTAAATTACACGAATGGTCCTTATGGTTTAGGGTAATTTTCACGTTTGGTCCCTAACTTAATTTTTTAACTCGGAAGGTCCCTACTGTTTGTTTTTGTTACGCACTTGGTCCCTATCTTACCTAAAAAGACTATTTTGCCCTTGATTTTTTAATTTTTTTTTTAAATAAACACACCCCAAACCCTACCCACCTTACATTACCTTACTTATCTCACCATTTTCCCTATTTAAATAATAGTCTTTTTAGGTAAGATAGAGACAAAACGTGTAACAAAAACAAATTCTAGGGACCAAGCGTGTAACAAAAACAAACAATAGGGACCTTCCGAATTAAAAAAATAAGTTAGGGACCAAGCATGCAAATTACCCCAAAACCACAGGGACCATTCGTGTAATTTACTCTTTTATTTACTAATCTATAAACATAATAGTACAAGTATTATATTCAATACAAAACAAGATATAAAAAAACAAAAATGTTATAAAATTTCAAAGCCTTTTCAGGTTTTCGTGTCAAAATTTCCATATTTTCTTCAAATTATAATTTTACATCTTCAATATTTTTTCCACAAATTCTTCCAAATCCACAACAAAATAAATTAAATAGATTAATGCAAGAACACTCACAAAAATGCATATGTATGCATCATGTAACACTTGCATGTGATTATATCATGTAAGATTCACATTTGATTAAATAATGTGATATTTAGATGTGATTGTATATTTTAATATTCAAATGTGAAATTCACAAGAAAAAAATAATAACGAAAAACACTCACAAAAATGCAAGTATGCATATACATGAAATTCACATGTGAATCAAAAGTGATTCATATCTGAATCACAAGTGATTCACATGTGAATCCCGAGTGGGTTCAGGGATTCACGTGTGAATCCTGAGTGGGTTCACATTTGATTCACACGTGAATCATGTGAATCACTTGTGAATCAAATTACTGAATTACTTGTGCATTTTGCTTTGAATCATGTGAATAATGTAATTCACAGGTTAATCACAAGTTATTTACATCTGAATCAAAAGTGATTCACATGATTCACATGTGAATCACATATCATTCACGTGTGAATCATGTGAATCATGTAATTCATATGTGAATCACAAGTGATTCACGTGTGAATAACAACTGGTTCACATGTGAATTACATCTGATTCACGTGTAAATCATGTGAATCACTTGTGATTCACATGTGAATTATGTGTGTTTCTTCACAATAAAGTTATAAAAAAACTAACTTCAAAAGAAAGGTTGCAGATCTACGATCAGATATTTCCTATTGTGTTTCTTCACAATGAAATTAAATATTATTAAAATGAAATTCATCAAGACAGTTTGCATGAACATAGACAAAATGGACTTTGTGTTAATTATGTTAATCTTTGTATATTAATATCTACATTTATTAATAAATAATTTGACTCTTTGACACACGCCGTAGCAATTTGACTTCTGAATATTTGATTTCAAATTGAGATTAAGCAAACCTACCTTAACGATGATACACACCAATGGAAAGAATTCAGTTTGCTACTAATTGAACTGAAACGAAATAATACAAAAAATATGACATAAATTTAATAGATTATTAAATAAAAATAAACATAATAAAACATATTTATACCACCAGAATGAGAAATCCTCGGTGACCGAATCATTCAAGGAAGAAGACATGAGAATGAGATATTAACCACCAGAATGATAGATCTTCAGGTACCATCGATTCAAGATATACAGTTGCAGGTATGAAAAAACTCGATTCGTAAGTGGAACCGTAAAATTGGATCGGCAAAGAATCGTCCTCTTTAAATGTGCATTCGATAAGATCTACGATCAATAAGGGATCACTTCTCTATTCAAATCTTCGATCGGGAGAGGATGTTGAAATAAGGTCGAAGATGGAGGTATACTCTTACAAATTGACGTTGAAGATGTGTATGAAAATGTAAGAGAAAAAGGGGGATAAAAATTTAACTATAAATGATTTTATTTACAATATTAATTTTGCTACTTTTTAGATATTGTTAGGTTCTAATACCCATATTGACCTTGTCATTTTATATAAAAAATCAAGCATGCCATTCATTTGGATTATAATTAAAATTATGCCACCTTTAACCTATGTCATCAAATCTTATGATCCAATGTTCTACTTTAAATTCTCTGTGTGACAACCCGATATTTCAACTCTTTGTAATAGCCTAATAGGTCAAGTATTGTAACCATTTTTGAGTTAATAAAAATTAACGTTGATAATAAAATGTCCAAAAAGTTTCTATTTAACTACCCACTATGTTTTATATATCATTAAACCGTGATCGTACGTAAAAAGAATGCTCAAACCCGACTTCGTATATTGAAGTTAAGATTTTTCCAAATTCGGCTTAGCAACAGACAGCTAAAAACTCGAGTCGAAGATCGAAAGACTTTTGGCTGGAATGACCTAAACGAGAATCGAAGGTCTCGACAATGATAATTCAGCGGTAAAAAGTCTGGCAAAAACCGACGTCAGATAAAGAAGTTATGAATTTTTAAAGAAATTCCTTAATCACGTCATTTTAATAAATAAATAATAAAAATAATTTCGGAATTTGCCGACGGGATCTAAACGAAAGTTGTAGAGCGTAGTCTCACCTTCGTGGGGATATAAAGAACATCAAAAACGGAG